GCAACTACATTTCCAAAAGCTGCTCGCCCGAACTCTTACAGTTCCAGCTTGCTTCATGTGTCCAGTAGTAGTGGCAGCACAAGCCATGCCACTGGGAAGTCCCCCTTTCTTTGGAGGCAATAGATTGCAGATCTCATTTTGGCACTTCTTTGGCTTGCTCCCAAGTGGTTTCTCTTCCAGCTAGCTATAGCGAACTCTAAAAACTAGGACAGCTAGCGAGGTTGAATCCTGTAGGCAACACACTAGCAAGCTGCTTGCCTGCTGGTTTGTGATTAAATACATTCGTCATACCACCCTTCCCCAACTGCAGCATTACAAGGCACAATATTCATGGGATAATATTGCAGATTGAAATACTGACACAAGTGTCGCTTATACTGAACTTTGCAGGCTCCTGAAGCCTTCTGTCTCCAGTGCATTCAGGCAGCATACATGTTTCTAGTAACCACCCAGTAGAGTGTTCTAGGTGGTTCCCTTCGTTTAAGAAAAAAGGAAAAGGAAACAGGTGATCACTGTAAACCAAGGTTTCAAGATAGTGCAAACAGGTGTTCTTTGGCAACAAATGCTGGCAAGCCAAAACGCAAACTGCCTAGCCGTTACTTCAGAAGAGCTCGGTACAATGCTAGAGAGTGCTTCAGCTCTTTTTCTTGTTCCATACAAAATATCAAGTCCCTGAGGCAGATGCGTGTTATTCGTGGATGAAGATTTGGTTTCGCAAGGCTGGGTGATCTGTTTAAGCCCTAGAACAGGAGAAAGGAAAGGAAAGGTGAGTAGTCATTAAAAATAAATAAAACTCACTGTACAACGTAAGTGCAACTCCAATAGGATCTTATACTGCATGAGCTTCACCCCTCATTATTTGCCCTAACTTTAGAGGTCTCCCATGCCAGCGATTACTTGACGGGGCACAGCTCTCTTTGCAGGAAACAGATGCAATTCAGTATGCTGAGCCCCGTTTCTCAAAGTATTGTGTTCAGAGTCTTCAGGAAAAATAGGATAAAGCTCTTAAATGGCCTGGTCCTGAATATCCGAAAGGAGACCTCAAAAAATTCCACCCCAGCCTTAAGATCTATTGGAGAGGTCCCATTATCAATACCCAAATGTTTAAGGTGTGACGGCCCATGTGCTGCTCCTCCATTGGTAGCATGTGGAGCTTTCCTAGGGGTCATGGGGTAGCCAGAGCCTCTTTCACTTTTAGGAGAACAGCAAACACCTTCTTAGGCTTCATGTCAAGCTATCTCACGCTGCTTTTAAAACTGACCATATAACCTTAGTATATGGTTTCATTATTGCTGGAAGCCACCCAGAGTGGCTGGGCAACCCTGTCAGATGGGCAGCATATAAAATATTGTTATTATTAACATTAGCTGCTTTAAGTGGGACAGAAATATTTTTTTATTTAATCCAAACCACTTTAAGGATATAGAACAAAAGAATTTTAGACTGGCTTAGAAAGTAGGGAAACAATATAAGGTAAGCCAACACATTTAAATGCTTGGCGATTGGCATGAAATATATCCATAGGAAGTGCTACTGCTACTACTTTGACATCAGCAAACAGACTTAAGTTGATACCTGCTTTCTCTCCCAAAAGAAAAACTATTTCTCCCACTAACATGATACAAGACAACACCAGCTGAAAACTGAAATAAGAATGCCATCGTTTTGAAGCTTTCCATTTGTTCAATGGCTTGGAATAAAATAGGCATGGGAGAAATATTGTGGCCATGTACAGGGAAAGAGAGAGGTCCCTCTTGCCTTGGTAAGACACAAAAGGGTCACAGTTCAAAGTAAGACAACCCCTTATGGGGAGGGGAAGCGGGGGGGGGCTAGCTTTGTAGCACAGCTGCCACTACAGGGTTGAAGAGGAGGTCACTCCAACAGGATGCAGCAGAAGGCTCAAGGCATTATTACAAATGAAACAAGCCTCAGGGGATTCCTCAGCAATCCAATAGCCATGTCCTTCAGAAGTCAAAGAACTTTAGGGAGGGGAAAGTATTTACTTTCTAAACAGAGACCAGCTTAGAGGGCTTAAAACTGAGCATTCACACACAAACCTGTTCATTCTCATGTAGCCCTTTGAAAAACAAAGTGTAAAGGACAAAAACCTCAAAATTCCCCATGAGCAATCTCCATATCTGGATCCATCTCTCCACCCTTGAGAACAGTCATAGCTTGAGCCCATGTAAGGTTTACTCAGATGTTCGAGTTCAGTGGGGCTTCCTTGTGGGACAGTGTGCACTGCAAGGATGGGGAATCTTTTCAACCTGAGGGCAAGCATGAGGGGGTTGTTTTCGATTTTCTTAAACCAGTACAACGTATGTGGATTATGGGTTTTGCCATATTCACAAAAGAGCACACATATTTGTGTATGCTTATAATCATATGCAAATCTACATCCTCCCTTGCGTGGGGTGAAGGTGACAAACATAAATTAGAAGCCAAGTGCAAGCAAGCAATGTTTCTGACAAAACAGTAATAATTGCATTTCCATACTAGAAAGGACTTCACCTGTTCAATTTCTGCCTGCCACACAGCGGTTCAAAGCACAAGAGCCCTGCTCTCCCCCGATGCCAACCCTAAACCATGCAAACAATTCTCTTGATTTTCTCTGTAGATTAAGATAATGGAGAAAGACTGACTGCCCTAGTTCTTCGCAGTTACTCAATACACGGCATAATTTCTGAAGCATATGTTACACCCTTTGCTACGAAACCTCTTCCACTGCTTCCATGTTTGAAGGTGCTGGCTGCAATTACTTAGGGATTAAAATAAGTCATTCTGTTGTAAATCTGAGGAGAGTGTCTGAACATGTACGTACATGCCGTAAACCAGTCCCAGCATAATTTAACTTGACTTTCTCCCTCTCATCTCAAGTTTTTACTGACCATATAACCCTTGGTTATTATATTTGTCCTGCTTTTTGTGTTGCCTTCATTTTACCCTCTTTCACTGACCCAATAAGTAGACTACTCATACCACTGGAGACAAGGTTGCCCAGTAATTTACAGATCTTCCCCATGTATTCACTTCTGTTCAAAGTACAATGGTACCTCGAGTTAAGAACTTAATTCATTCTGGAGGTCCGTTCTTAACCTGAAACTGTTCTTAACCTGAAGCACCACTTTAGCTAATGGGGCCTCCTGCTGTGGCCGCACCACTGCTGCACGATTTCTGTTCTCATCCTGAAGCAAAGTTCTTAACCCGAGGTAATATTTCTGGGTTAGTGGTGTCTGTAACCTGAAACTTATGTAACCTGAAGCGTATGTAACCCGAGGTACCACTGTACTGAATTTGTAGCATTCACGTGTTGGCTCACAAAGCACAAATATAAGCAGCGTCTTTTTTGTGATGAAACAGAGTACCGTCGCCTCTTTTTTTACTGGCCATGAGTGTCGGTTAAGGTTAAGTGAAGTTTTCCTCCAACATCTATTTAACCAAGCAACACTTGAGTCTCTCTCAACAGATTTGAGCTTCTCCCACACTGGGTGTGGAGTTGTTTAAACTTTGTCAGGATGAGCCTGTCATTTTTATGATTATTTTGTATTGTCTTTCTTTTATATTATGTTTTATTGTACTTCTAAATGTTGATGCATACACCCCCAATATTTTATATGAGGGGCAGTCTAGAAATATTTTTATGAAATAGATAAATATGATAACTTAATCAAATGCACACAATAGCCCATATAGCTTTTAGCTTACATGTAGAATTTGGAAACAGATGTGCAAACTGAACTCTAAATGGAAGATTGGCATAAAATCTGGGAGACTTATCCAAGCCTTTCATTATGTGCCAAAATAAAAGAACTGTCATGCAAAATTCTATCTAGGGCTCCCCCCCCCCAATAATATACAAAACCAGATTGATCTCTGGTTTAAGCTGGTATGCGTGTTATGTTTTTTAGATGCTTTAATTGCTTTAAAATGTTTTTAGATTGTTTAAAGTATGTTTTCATTTCACTTTAAATTGTATTGTTTAACATTTTGATGTTTGTTGCTCTGGCCTCCTTTGGGCGGCAGGGTAGGATACAAATTTAATAAATAAAAGTGTACTTTTCCACATTGTGAGAATGTGAAGCTGAATCAAGGTTTTCGTTTTTCCTGCTGCTGTATATGAAAGCTGATGAGTCGTATCACAGACACCATCTTCCCTTGAATCCAGCCTACAATTTGCTGCATTCTTTTAATAGTTAGCATGACAAATACAAAGTTAATAGACGTTAGCAATAATGTTACATGGTTGATGGACTAAGCTAATCATCACTGGTCCAAGAAATACTCAAGGGGCAAAAATACAATTATATAGTATCCATTCTCAAGAGATGATCAGAAGAATGAGCATTAAATTTAAAGGTTCTGCAATTTGTTCCAAAAGCATTTATATGTTTTCTTATGCATGTACAATACATACATGTAATGAAGTCACGCCAGGTAAGAGATCCACCCTTGTTTCTCATTTACCGTTGGCAGATAAGCTTGAGTTAGCCCAAACAGTGGAATTTCTTTCACTCATGAGAAATCTACGCAGCAAGCTTTGGCCAAATGAAACAATACAAAAAAAGCTCAACAGCTTTTGTGTCTGGATTTTTAACTTTTTGAAATATGACAACCTTATGCTGTGCTGCATTTTGTTTTTTGAAAAAGTTTTAAACCTACACTGGCTTTTTAAAAATATAAAATAAAACCAGTAGAAATCGCATGTAAGACAACTCCCTTTAAGGTTTTTATTAGCCAATGCATGGTTAGGATTTCACAATGAAACCAGAATTCTGAAAATGAAATGAACTTCAGTTGCCAAGAGATTGTAAAGTGGAAAACATGCTTCAAACCAGAGAATTCTGCTTTTTTTTCTTCTTCTTCTACAGGTCAAGTGCCCACAGCACCACTGTGAGATGCTCCATCAATGTGCCATATTGAACACTTAGAAAGAACTTCAGTTGACCTTCTATTTCTTACTGGGATGAAAAAGTCTCCAAGACAGCTCTCTGACAGTAAAATAAGTAAATGAAAATACTATACAGCACTTTTGATTTTTAAAAAGGAGAATGAGAACTCTTGGGACACCTCATGGCATGACAGACATGTTTTCACTTGAACAATTTAGGAATAAATGTGTATGTTTATGATCCAATTATCTTCACTCATGCTGGAACTTCACTAAACTGTCAAAGATCTGCAAGAGACTAGGTATTAATATTCTGTTGTGTAGCTTTCCTCCCCCAACTTACATTGTGACATTTCTACAAGTCCTTTCAAATGTAACCAACAGAGTGTTTTACATATTGAGACAAATTACTGGAAATGTAGTGTCAGTTTACTCATGATTATGCCCAAGATTCATGCTTACATGTCACTATCTGTGGCTGCATCAGATCCTTAATCTGTACCTGGAGGTAACAAATACTGTACAAAATGTGTCATGTTAACTTAATAGACGATTATTAAACTGAAATATTCTGGCTCTTTGCCACATCATTTTAGGCAATATATCATCAACTAAATTATAAAACTCTTGACCCTTCACATGTCATCAACGTTTGTGTTATCAATATGTTTAGCCCAGAGCTACAATACAATTAGTCATTTAAATTGCAGATATCTTTCACACAAGAAAATAATTAAGTTCATCTCTGTACAGGAATGGCATTCTATGGGCCTGTGAGCTGCACTGCTTAAACCTATAAATGGCAGCCTAGAATATTTTAGCCAATTTACAGGCAAACATCTGACGTCGTGAGTGTGGCCCAAACTGACAACCTTCTACGAAATTCAGAGATAAAACTGAAACTCCACCATCCACTGACAGATGTGACATACAACACATTTGTTGCTTCCTAGTCTCTTCCAAAGAGAGCGTGTCTCAGTTACAGAGAGTCCCAAGATGCACCAAGCACTTACACTTGAAGGGGCTCAGTCAGCATGCTAGTCAAGGAAGCTGACAAGCTTCTGAACCAGGAGTAAGGAATCTGCAATCCTCCAGAGGCTGTTGGACTACAATTCCTATCAGCCCAGCCTGCATGCCTTACGGTCAAGGATGATGGGGCAGCAGTAGGTTCCACAGCCCTGCCCTAGAATATACATTTGTCTGCACAATTAGCTGAAAGTCAGTCAATTTGTGCATTATTCCACAACCATGAGAGTCAGCACTTAAGGGGGCTCGACCTGTTACGAAGACACAAGTTTCTTTCTAGCTACCCTGTGCCTGTGTTAAGGAGTACAGAACATTAGCTCCACAATCATGGCAACAACCTGGTTGTCCCCATAGTTTTTGCCAAGGCACCAGTAGTGTCAGGTATGGTGCACACACTGGTACCGAAGAGATAGCTATCAACCCTATTTCACATAGATATGAACAACTAGGCACAGTGCTGCAAATGTGATTTTTGAAGAATCAAATCGAAAGGTAAATCTTGCATCAAACCTCTAATCTTCAGGAGAAGAGTGTCCAGGCTTATGCAGTCAATATGGCAGCATCAAGACAGAACAGGGTACTCATAGGAACCCTGGGATTGGAACGTCACCACCAACTAATGTTCTATATGTGGCAATGAATGGGAAGACTTCCTTGGACAGAGTTTAATTGCTTTCACAGGAAAGTGCCAAGGAGAAGTCTGGAAAAAGTGACCTGGCCCTCAGGTAATAATGGCAGCCTTCCCAGGAGATGTCTACCCAAAACACTTGGCACATTGGGAGGGGCATGAGCCACATAAACTAGTTCACTCCCCCCCCCAAAAAAAAGATGCTTTAGCTATCCATATAACTGTATATATATGAATTAAATGCATGCTTCTGGTGCATTACCACTAGTTATATTTAATACTTCTAGAAAGATAAATAACTGGAAACGGTCAGATGTGTGTCAAACTGCTTAAGCTCTTTGACATTTAACAGCTTTAGAAAATAAGTATCTTTGCACTCGATGGATATAGTTCTACATATTTAAATTAGACATGTTTTCTCAAAATATGCTTTTGGTGATTCCTAGTGTGTACAGGCCCCCAAGCCATATTCTTCCATTTCAAGGCCATCCTTTCATCTCTGAACAGAACACTGTTTACTCATCAGGATGTTTTGCTTTCCTTGTTATGCGTATACTGCAAGCATTCTGCTTCTATAAAAAAAAAAGATTTCTCAGAGATTATTTGATTTAAAAACTACTTTATAGTCATAACTCTTCAGATCCATTTACAATACACCTCACCATTTCTAAACCCCAGCAAAGAACCAGGACACTTCAACTGCTTAGCGGCTGGACCCTTTAGCACTCTAATATCCGACAAACAAAAATGGAATTTGCACAGGAAGTCCCAGCATCTATGTAAAAGATTAAAGCTCCCAGTGATTTGTGTACTGTAAATAATGTTACAACACATGCCACTCTTCCTCTCATGGTTAGAAATCTAAGCCTCTGCAGCATGGGCTGGCAAATATTGGTGGCAATATTCTCCCACTCCCATATCTAGTGATATTAAAGTTATGGCCTGTCTCAAATTACTTGGCAAAATTATATTCAAGAAAGCAGGCCCCATCACTCTCAAATATTCACCTTGGGTCATGTTACTTTTTTTGTAGGTAAATACCAAAATATATTCTTCATACACCTAAAACTGTTAAGTCTTAACGCAACATTGTGAGCTGCAGTTGGTTGTCTCTCCCTGTTGAAAGCCCACTCTGGCCAACCTGGATTAATTTCTGTAGTGCAGGGATAGGGGTCCTGCATGCCTCCAGATGTTGTTGGACTCCAGCTCCCATAGGTCCTTTCCAATGTGACTAAAGGCCAGGATGGTGGGAGTTGGAGTCCATCAACATCTACAGGTCCCCCACCTCTGCTATGTTTGGAGCATCACTCATAGGTGCTTAGAAACCAAATGTGACTTGCTGCATATTTTATAGACACCCTTATAAAGATGCAAAGTGTAGGCATAGCATGCCTTAATGAGTGCTTCCCTTTATGTTGCACAAAATGTTGGATGCTATTGTTCTGATGTATAACTCTATTGCCACTGGCATTTTCATCTAGTGTTATGTAGGGTTACAGCACAAGTGTTTAATAAGGTAGGAACAGCATCAGTGACAGCAAGAATATGTCTAAGGGGCAGCCATTATATTATCCTCTAGAATTATAGAAAAGTAAAAGCTAAGAATAATTACTACCTTGCTCTGCTGTAGCCTTCACCTACTTAATAGTAAACACCATGATTTACCTAATGAAAGCCGAATGGTTAAGGGAGGGACCTGGGAAAGTTGTTATACCAAGCTCATGATTTTAAATCTTTTAGAAGTAATTAAGGTAGATAAAAGCTCATTCTACAGGCTGCAAGAAGATAGCCACTAATTTATTAAAATTTCAAGGCACACACCCAAGCTCAAAGGCAAGATAATATCCCTGTTGGTGGACTGATTCACTTTTGTTGGCTAGTCAAAATTTTATTCCACCATACTTGCCCTGAGAAACAAAGTATCATACCAGAGCTCACTTGTCCCCTGAACATCCTTAAAATTCTGGGCAACATTGCTAGGGAACAGCCATTGGTTTTAAACATCCCACGTGGCTGCCCTCCATTTGCAGGCGATGGATGCTCCAGTCCAACTTTATCGGGAGTACGCCATTTTAGCAAAGGCAAATAGGTATTTCAAGTGAACTTCTAAATTTCTTTGAAATAGCTGGCTAGTTTTATAATGTGTGGGAGGTGAAATGTATTCAGATTATCATTCTTGCTTTTTTTAAATATCCGTTTTATATCAAGACTTAACAGCAACCAAAATAGTTAGGCAGAAGAAGAGTTCACAACTGACGGAAACCCAGGAACTTTCCATTCACCATCATGCAGACGCAGGTGGGATAACAAGAGCAAATGGATTTCCTTTCATTATTTGGGAACTTAGAGAGAGAGAGAGAGAGAGAGAGAGAGAGAGATATGAGATTCAGGATGAGAGTTCTGAAATGCTGTGAAACATCCAAGATAGATGGGAAAAGACTTGAGGCTTGCCTTAGATATCATCCAAATGATGCCCGTGACATTTGCACAACCACAGCCAACGGAAAAGACACTAGCTACCCTTGTCCTCATGCTACGTTTTACTACAGTAAGACACCATTCCTTTACAGAACACAACTCATAATCATGCAGAACTTCTCTGGGTGCCAAGAGGCTGCTTCATTGCCGATAAAACTGATAAATATCAAGCCGCGTGAAATTCCAACAATATACAAAACAGAAACACAGTTCAGCTGGAAGATATTAAACCAAGAAGGGTTACTGCACGTACCTCCAGTCCGGATGAATCCAGTGGCCTCTTTTTTCTTGGCCCAATGGCTGCCAGAGCTGCATGGTTAGCCTCCATTTGCTGCATTTGTGCAAGTTCTAATTGCTGCAACTAATTTAGGAAGAAAAGAGGAAGTTATAGGTAGGTTGGTCTGCAGTACCCTGGAAGTCACTGCTCAACTTGAGTCAGTTAGTCTTAGCCTTGGCCAGTCTTCTACAGTTAGAAATTCATGAACCGAGCGTGTTCTTGTTTGCTTGTTCTCCCATTTGTATAGCAATAAAAAGGTTCAACAAGAAGCATATTTAGGGACATCATTCTATAGGTCAGTATACATTTGTTTTGAAAAAAATCTATACTTCATTGGGACATTTGCCATTTAAGAAAGTATGTAATAATCTCTGTAAAATTAACCATCCCATTCTCCATTTCCTTTATTAAAAATACAATTTATTCTGAAAGAATCTATAAATACTATTTTAGCTTATGTTTCCTCTGTCTTGCAGGAAGCCGTTTTGATTTATGAATATTTACCTAAACCTCATTCTGGCTGCTATTTGTAATAGGCTGAGATGGCTAGAGCATTGCAGGTTGGTACTCTGTAGCCACCGCATACATCTCTTAGCACCAGGTCACAAATACATACATGCAAGATACTTGAGAACTCTGCACTGTGACAAGATCCAAATATATGAATCACTTCTACTGAGAAGTATTGCACAGGAGGTATCAAGTTCCAACCTGTTAAATCTGCCATGGCCAATTCACAAAAATAAGTTTACTGCATGTTGCAGACAGACAGTTGTGCTATGTGAACCAGCCCCCATATGCCTTTACACCCCAAACAACTGCCTCGAGGGATTAATTCAGCTATAGCAGCTTACAGCAGGGATAGCTACATGCACTCCCGATGTTGTTGCAACTGCCATCAGCCCTGGCCAACATGGCCAATTGCCAACGAGTATGGGAGCTGGGAATCCAAAACATCTGGAGAACCACAGGATAGATATGTTACTTATCCCTTAACCAGATGAAGCAATGTCCCACCAAGTCTCAAGACTAGTACTCTATAGACTTCTCAAAACTACTATATATTTGCTCAGAAGGGACAAGTCTTAAGATCAGAAGCCAGCCAGAAAGCATTTCAAGCCCATTTTCCCTTCTTCGATTTTTCCATCTGCTACAAGTACAAAGATTTTTTAAAAAACCTGTGTAAAGATCAAATTGCTATGAAAACGTTGCAGAAATTGTAAAATGGTCTTTGTTGCTGCTGGCCTTTTTAATAATAATATATAGGTTTTTTAAAAGTCTGGTCTTGAAGCAGTCAGGAGTTTCTAGGTGACACAATAACCATTTTAGTTAATCTGACCTGAAGCACAAATAAAGTGGAGGCACATTTTTTTTAAGCCCTTCCCAATGGTGAAATGGCATTTGCAGCATAGCTGTAATCACATGAAGCAATTTTTAAGAAGGGGAAACTGCTCTGTTCTCCTGTTCAGTTTTAAGAAAAGATTTCCTTACCATCTCACAGAAATTGGATTTTTCCACTTTCATAAAACTTGCAGACACACACACACCACACACCCACCCCACCACATTTCAGTACAAGTAGGAAGGGCAAGTATTTTAGTTTAGGAAGTAGTACATCAACTTGTTGCTTTTGACGGTGCAGGCTTAAACTCTACAGATGCTAGACAGTTGATGGTCACTTGAACTATTGTTTTATTTTGCCCATGCACCAGGGCATTCTGAATACTTAATGTGCTTTAATAAACAGAAAGCATTATCTACTTCACTATGGTACAGAGCAAGCATTATCCACCTGATAGGTACAGAGGTAATATATTCCAGAGGGCAGTGAAGGCCCCAAACAGCCTTCAAGTGCCATTTTACATTCAAGGGAAGCTTGTTTGAAACCTTTTGCCCTCTTAGGCTCAAAATTTAGCCAGCAGAATTCCTCTCCATGTTGCCCTTCCAACCAGGAGATTCAAATGCAACTAAACTATCCAATGACTGTTGCACCTATTACCACCTGTCATGCCATTTGATATGTAAAACGAGTGACATTAGTTCAGGTCAGATGCAATGGGAAACTAATCTCTCATGGCATGAATGAGACATGGAAAGTTTCAGGCTTGTATGCACTTCCCTCTTATCTCATCTACTTGGACTTTCAATTTCGATTTTGAACTGTGCAGTTTTACATGGTGTGCAAATCTGACTTGGTGCATTCTTATGTGGGACAGCAAACAGCCCGCAAAAAGAACTGCAGTTGAGAGTTTATAGAAACAAAGGCTACTATGTGGCTTTCATGGACCGATGGAAGGTTTTATTGGAAAATGTATGCCTATTTTATTCTCCAAACTGAGAACTGTGTTATGTGTGGGTGTCACATTTTAAGGAGGCCTTTGGAAAAAACCTGTCATGTGTCCAATAGGCAACCAGGACAAAAGGCTTGGAAACCATGTCCATAATGAACTGTTCAAAGAACTGAGTATGTTTAGCTTGAAGAGAGTATAATGGAGAAAGAGGATAGTGGCCTTCAAATATATCAGGCACGTCGAACCTAAAGTTGGTTGTGATCTACCAACAAGTATCAAAAACTGACAGTGATCTACCACCCTCCAAAGTCATTTAAGTTAAATAAATAAATGGATCTTTATTTCACAGATATAGTAGCTATGTTTGGATATCATTATGACAGATCCAAATACAGTGGTACCTCGGGTTACAGACGCTTCAGGTTACAGACTCCGCTAACCCAGAAATAGTGCTTCAGGTTAAGAACTTTGCTTCAGGATGAGAACAGAAATTGCACAGTGGTGATGCGGCGGCTGTCGGAGGCCCCATTAGCTAAAGTGGTATCTCAGGTTGAGAACAGTTTCAGGTTAAGTACGGACCTCCAGAATGAATTTAGTACTTAACCCGAGGTACCACTGTAGTTACTAGATGGACAAGTAACTAAACAAGTGAGAAAAGTCAAACTATATTTTTATATTAGTTTGCACAGATCTGAGGAGCCAGCTTCTCTCCCCCCCTCTCTCTGTTAACTCTTTCCCTTCTGAGTTGCTTCCTTGCTCCGTGATTCTCCTTCGCTGCTTCTCTCCCCGCCCCCATCAAAGGGAGCCTTCCCAAGCAGCTCCTCCTTGTGCCTCCCTCTGTCTCTGGCAGCTGCCCCCTTCCCCATCGAGAAAGCCAGGCTAAACCCACCTCCCCTCTTCCAGCAGCATCACACAGACCTCCCCCCACCTCCCTCGTGCCTCCCTCCATCTCCCTGCATGCGCTGCTCAGAGAAAGGCCCTGCGATCGACCAGAAACAACCTCACAGTCCACCGAGGTCTCGCAATTGACGTGTTGTACATGGCTGATCTATATGAAGACCTGTCACACAGAAGATTGAGCAGACTTGTTCTCTGGTGCTCCAGAAGAGCAGTGCTAGAAATAATAGGTGGAAATTGCAGGGAAGGTGATTTTGGCTAAGCGTTAGGAGAAACTTCCTAATAGCAACAGCTGCCCCACTAACAGTGGAACAAACTGTCTTGGGAGTTGGTGGGCTCTCCTTTGCTGGAGGTGCTTAAGCAAAAGTGAGCAGGCATCCATCAGGGATGCTGAATGTCCTGCTTTTAGGCACGGGGTTGGACTAGATCTCCAAAGTCCCTTCTAGCTCTACCATTATAAAAAAAACCACACACACAAACAAACAAACAAAACCAACCCCAAACAAATACCGTATTTTTCGCCCTATGGGATGCACTTTTCCCCCTCCAAAAATGAAGGGGAAATGTATGTGCGTCCTATGGGGCGAATGCAGGCTTTCGCTGAAGCCTGGAGAGCGAGAGGGGTCGGTGCGCACCGACCCCTCTTGCTCTCCAGGCTTCAGGAAGCTCTCAGCAAGCCTTGGGAGCCCGCGGGAGTTCCCGTCGGGCTCCCTAGGCTTGCGGATAGCAGCCTGCATCTCGAAGCCCGGGGCGCTGCACAGTTCCCCAACCTGGTTTGGGCTTCAGTTCCCCAACCTGGTTTGGAGGCTGGCGGCAGGGAGAAGCAGCGCACCTTCCCGCTGTTCCCCGACCTGGTTTGGGCTTCAGGCAGATATCCACAAGCAGTGGGAGCCCGGTGGGAAGTTGCGACTGTCTCCCAAGGCTTGCGGAGAGCTGCCTGTTCTGTGGGCTGGGGTCGGGGGAAGCTCGGGCTTCCCCCGCGCCTGGGGGGGAAATAATTTTTTTATTTCCCCCCTCCAAAGCTAGGTGCGTCCTATGGGCCGGTGCGTCCTATAGGGCAAAAAATACGGTACACAAGATGAAAAATGCAATAAAACCAAACACCATTTTACACCCTATAATATTCACATATGGACTCTGCAATCTTCCTGCTCTCTTTTAGACCTTTGTTGTCAAAAAGTTCAACTTACTGTCTAGCACAGTGTTTCCCAAACTTGGGTCTCCAGCTGTTTTTGGACTACAGTTCCCATCATCCCTGACCACTGGTCCTGCTAGGTAGGGGTGATGGGAGTTGTAATCCAAAAACAGCTGGAGACCCAAGTTTGGGAAACACTGGCTTAGCAGCTTTTCCTGTTCCTGATTTATTTTTAAGAAAGAATGTATTCAGCCATCAGCTTCTCAAATTACTTCTTTGCTTGCTTCAGTTTATGCTCATTTATGAGAATTTCCCCCCTCATTTGGATAAGACTTCTATTTTTTAAGGAACCCTTCTTCCCATTTATAGCTTCCTTGACCTTGGCATTTATGCCTGCTTGAATCTTCTTGGCACTTGTTCATCACCATTCTAGTCTGTAGTACTACCGCAGTGATTTAAAAGAAACTTCAAAGCTGCCTGAAGAGGTCTGACCCACCTGACCCACCCCTTCAACTTCCTTTAAATAATCCCCTCATTTGAGAAGTTTCATCTTTTGAAGGCAGATGCAAGTGCTGAAATTTCCAAGCAACTTTCCCCTTACATATTGTGGCCACTTTTCCCAAGTGGTCCAGCAACACTTAAACACTGTATCATGGGTAGGCAAACAAAGGCCTGGGGGCCAGATCCGGCCTAATTACCTTCTAAATCCAGCCTGCAGATGGTCTGGGAATCAGCGTTTTTTTACATGAGTAGAATGTGTGATTTTATTTACATTTATTTGTATATTTCAAAATATAGTCCGCCCCCCCCCCCCAAGGTCTGTGGGGGGGAAATTTGCTGACCCCTTCACTACATCCTGGGTACTGCATGATATTAGGTTAACACCTTGCCTCTTGCCCAGTGGCCTCCATGAGGAATGTTACCTACTCAATGTGAGGATTGTTGAAACCACCACCACCACATCTTCTGCTCTGACTACAGGTAAGAGTTGAGAGCGAAAGCAATATCTAAGCTTACCATAAAGCCAGAGGAAGGGTGATATTGGAAAGGAGAACAAATACCAGAAGGTCGAAGATGAGCTGTTTTGACCAACAGGTCAAACTTGTAATCATCAAGAATGGTTTCAGCTTGGAAAGCAATCCCATTTAGTTATTCCCATCCCAAAATCAACTCTGAAAGTTGCCTCTCAAGTTCCGTTTCTACCTGGGGAAATGATGGCAAGGCAGCATGACAGTACCAAAGCACTGTTATCCATGGATTTGCGCATATGCAATATTGATAGATACAACCCGGAAATGAACCAGAGTGACTCCTCCGGTTGAATGTGCTTCTGGTGTGGGCATGAGTATACGTAACTGAAATGGCATTATTTTTACTATTAATTATTATTCCATTTCCTCCCCTGGTTGCTGAATTGCATTGTAAAGCTCTTTGGGCAGGCAGCATCACTTTTGCACTCTAAAGCAGTGTTTCCCAACCTTGTCTTCCAAGCTTTTTTGGGCTACCAATTTCCCATCATCCCTTGCACTGTCTTGCTAGTCAGGGATGGATGGAGTTGTAGTTTCAAAAAACAGCTGGAGCACAAGGTTGGGAAACACTGCTCTAAAGCACTACTGAAAAGACTAATAGGAGTTTGTATAAGGAAGTCAAAACGTTTCCATAACTGGGCGATGCACCATTCTCAAGTCACTCCTCCCCACAAGGTTTTAGGGTAGTAAAAGTGGCAGCAACTAAAGGTAAATATCCATTAAGAGTATCTTATAGGGAACTGCTGTCTGGATAGCAAAACTTAGAGGGGCAGAGACGAAGTAGCATTAGGCAAGTAACAGTGGTAAGTTGTAAGTAACATGCATATTTTGATGTATAACGTCAATCCCTCTCAAAGCGCCTAAGGAAACCTTCTGATGCAGAGGGTCCAAATTCCCTCACTTATGCCTTGCATTCTGTGGGCATTCCTTTACTTTGGCTGGAGTCTGGTGCATAGATGCCGAGACCATTTCACGGGATTGCCATTTGTACTGCCTCTCCTCCTACATTAATCCAAACAACGAGGGCCCTTTAAAGCATTCATAAATAACCTGCTGCTGCTGCTACTATTGGCACTTAGAAGCCAACCGTAGCAATGTTAAGCAACAACAAATTTGATAGTTCAAGAGGCACAGTTAAGAAAAAGATTGCTCAGAAAAAAACAAAACCACTCATTTACCACAGAGATCCTTAAAAATGGCATGGAATCAGTCAAGTAACTATAGAAACCAATTTCTTCAGCTCTGTATCACACATCTCACACCTCAATTGTCTTTATTATTGTCTGCTGTCAGATCCTTAATCAGAAATGTGAACAGGCTTGATTTATTCAGCGGGGAAAAGAATCTGTAGGTCAAGTAAAAAAAAAAATCTCACTCACACAGTCTTCAACCTTAGGTATTTTCATTTAATTCTGTTCCCAGTAGCTCTGGGGGCAACTCCAGTGAGATCCAATATTAAGGCTCAATTAAAATAAGCTCCAATTAGTGGAGCTTTTTTCTCTCCGGCTAGAAAAGTCAGGAAATGGATATTGGGAAATGTAAAAAGTCAGCTACTGAGAGGAGGCTGCAGCAGACATAAATGAACTTATTTGTTGATTTCTGCAGTTGCTATGCAGAGGCCTCTGGGAGTAAAAGCTTAACCAGTCTAAGCTATAAACTAAAACCCCTGCAGCTAAACATGAACTGCGTGAAACAAGGGCTCCATTCCAGAACAGAAAACTGCTGGGCCCAGAAAATTAAAAGCCAGAGGCATTTTCCATTTAAAACTAAATCCCAGTACCGCCTCCCAGCCAAAGAATTATAAGCAGTATCAGATTTACAAAACGAACAATTACCCTGGAAAAATGTAGCCTATTGTACGGTCCCAGATGCTAAATCTCAAAGTCTCTTTTTCCCCCCCTAATCCCACATTATATTTCTACCAAACACACTGCTGTATAGTTTAGGCCTGTCTAGAAATAGTTCTTTGTAAACTATGAAAATAAAATGTTAAGAGCTCATAATTCATTGACCTCATTTGAAGTGCTGCCCTTGCCTGTAGCAGTTCCTGTCCTTCCCCAAGGCCTCTGCAAATGGTATGCAACAGCAAAATAAACCCTGACCTAATTGCCAGGAGAGGAGGGCTGCCAACCTTCCCTCAGAACACAAAGGCAAAGCGTGGGGACTTGAAAAAGTCATACCTCTTTTGCTTTCTGCTTTAATCGCAGCTGCTCCGGATCTTCTTTATTGGTACGGCTCTATCAAAAAGGAAAGGAAAGGAGAAGGGGGGAGGGAGAGGAAGAGAAAGAAAGACGTTTAATAGAAATTACTAGCACCCAAACACAACATTATCTTTAAATATTTAATAAGTTACAATTTTCTCTTCTGATTGGAAATCTTAGCTGCAGGGAATGAATGCCTCAAGCCAGATTGGCTCTCTCTCTCTCTCACACACACACACACACACACATACACACACACAAAACCCCTCTCTTCATCAGGGACTGCTGCCTCCATTCTAGCCCAGAGGAAGCTTGAACTAAAAATGATGCTAACATTGTCAGTCAGGTCCAGCCTAGGCGTGATGATGTTCATGTCAGCAACAGACACTTGGGAAAATGAGAAAAGCAGCAAGGAGGGAGACAAAAAGATCCGGCACCATATTTGATGGGCATGCAGAAGACCTCCTTAAGGAGCCTATTTTTTCAGTTCCTATATTGGGCCATTTTAAAATAGGTCATTTGCAAGAGTTATAATAGGTTACATTTAATAGGTCCCAGGCAGCAGTGGATCATCCGGTAGGGGAAGGAAAGACTTCTAGGTCCATTAGCAAATTGGTGTAACCTTGAAGCTCCTAGCTCAGTGCATAAGCAACTTGCTGAAGGCCACACAAAGCTCAGTCAGCCCCTGAAATCTAATGTGGGATAATAGGAATGTACCCTTTAAGTTAATTCTAAGGCATGTATGGGGAACCTCAGGCCTGGGGGCCGCCCAAAGGTGGCCTCTTCAGTCCTCTATCTGGCCCTCAAAACTCTGTCCAGGAAACACCCATTTCCCCAGGCCACGCTGCTCACCAGCCCTACTTCATACCTTCTTCTTGAGAGTTTTTGCCTGGCTGGAATCTGTCCTTGAACTCTGCTTGCTTCGTTGGAGGATAGGGAAAGGGGTGTGTGTGAGAGAGAGAGAACTGCCCTACTGTACAAAGGTAAAATTCATATTTGTTGCACCATTGACCTGTGGTTCTAGGAAGGTTGCCAATCCTTGCAAATCATAGCTAGAATTCACCTGTCCCAAGATACAGTCCCCTGCCCAGTAGTTTGCAGGGGGCTAGAGTTACATCTTCATCAGACCCAAGTTAGACACACTGAATGCTATATAAAGAGATAACTTCCTGCACTTCTATGCTTGGCTACTGCATTCTGCACAGACCCATGAACATGCAATATGGAGGTCTCTGGCAAGAGGTACCAGCTGCCAAAACCTGAGAAATCTGGTGGGAGATGACTGAAGTGGTTTAAAAATGGAAGCAGAAGTGTTCTCTAGCTGCTGCTCATCCATTTTTGTCTTCAACGTGAAGCAACAAAAAATAATAATAGAAAGATAGGCTACGAACTCCCCACCATCTTAGTTCTAATTTTTGAGTGTTTGGCTTTGTACTATTTCTGTTTTCAGCAAGAGCATCATTCAGTAAATGGTCTAGAGTCATACAGCCCAGACATAGGCTTATTACCAACAACTCTGAAATAGTGATATAACCAAAGTGTATGACGTTTTCCTATTTGCTTTTAACATCCATCTTATTTTTTTCTATGGGATATCTTTCCTATGCATTTCAAGTGTCAAGGGGGCCCACTGGCACCATACAAAAACACACAAATGCAAGAAGTGTCCGTAGATTACAACAGGTTTGGACTCAGCAGCCCTGTTTAGGGAAGTTTTTAATGTTTGAAGTTTGATCGTGCTTTTAATATTCTGTTGGGAGCCACCCAGAGTGGCAGGGAAACCCAGCCAGATAGGCAGGGCATAAATACAATACAATAAAAATTATTATAGAAAATATTGGATGGAGAGTTGTAGTCCGCTGTTGCGGAAAATTTTTGCCAGAGTTTGAACCTTTTTGGTAAACCTTGAGATCCACAGAGTCCATGAGAACCCCTCTGAATCCCTTCTCTGAGGTCCAACTTTTCAAGGTACCCAATTACTGTAAATTACCCATCTCCTACATGGATGTGCTTGTATAGTTCTTTCAGCTGCAGCAAACTGGCAGCATCTAGGTCTAGGAATATTTAGCTGCCGTAAGTCTTCTGCAAATAACAGTTCTCTCACCTTGGCTGCCCGCAGCAACACCTCTCTCTCTTCTTCATCCTTCCTCTGCTTCTCGATCTGGTCCAACTGCTCAAGAAACCGAAGCTGGGCTCTTGTATCACTAGTTATTGTGTACTTGTCATTCCCCTAAAAAGCGGGGGGGGGGGAGAGAATTTATGGTTGTTTTAAAATACAACCACTGGCCCCCACCCTAGTTGTTAAAAGCAAGCCAGCTTGCATTAACATAACAGACAAATTTAAAAGAAATTCAATGCACATTTGCTTATTACCAAGATTGCATCCGCTTTTTTATTTTATTATTTATTAAATTTAAATTCCATTAAGAGCTGCTTTCCTCCAAAGCGTTTCCAGATTTTCAGTTAGCTTATCTATACTAGCTATTAAAACCAGCCATTCGCTCCAACCCTCCCCTCCACAAAAACAACAACCATTTTTGCCTATGTCCAGTTTCAAGCTTCCAAGCTCAGAAAACAGGCCCAGCACTGAACTAAATTGATGCCTGAAGACACTTAAAGGCAGGGAAGGATGGGGGCATATAATTGGAAGCATGGTGTACCTCAGCGACAGGCGTGCATGCTTGGGTTTGTAGACAGTCCCAGGAGGAATCTTTGGAAACTCTAGTTAAGAAAGAAGCCTGGAACTGCTGCCCATTAAAGCAGACATAAAGGTAAAGGTAAAGGGACCCCTGACCATTAAGTCCAGTCGTGACCGACTCTGGGGTTGCAGCGCTCATCTCGCTTTACTGTCCGAGGGAGCCAGTGTACAGCTTCCGGGTCATGTGGCCAGCATGACTAAGCCGCTTCTGCCGAACCAGCGCAGCACACGGAAATGCCGTTTACCTTCCCGCCGGAGCGGTACCTACTTATCGACTTGCATTTTGACGTGCTTTCGAACTGCTAGGTTGGCAGGAGCAGGGACAGAGCAACAGGAGTTCACCCCGTTGCGGGGATTCGAACCGCCAACCTTCTGATCTTCTTGATCTAAAGCGGACATACACTGGACTAAATGAACCAGTAGGTGGAATTGGTATGTGGTAGCTTTCTTCTGGTTATTGCCATTTCCATGACTGCATTTTATTCTTACAACCTAATAGCCTAGAACCTCCTGCATCCGTGAGGAAGCATACTTTAAGGCAGATTTTAGATTTGGATGCCAATACAATTCCTTTTTTAATTTTTAATTTTTTAAAAACCACCGACTGGAACAAGACTGTGAGGAGACCAAGAAGCTTAATGATTATTTCCTTTACCTTACAGGTCATCGTACGATGCTGAGCAATTACAGTTAGTTTCTCCAGAAGCCCTCTTAATCTCTCTTGTGTAGCATGGGAGATCAAGTTCAGAACATCTGAATTAACTTCCGTAATGTCATGGCTTTTACCTGTGGAGGCAGAGAAAATCCATTACGTGTTTTAGTACTAGCTGATAATTGAAATAATTAGCACAGCAGGCATTCTGTTCCCCCTGGAAGTCATACCCATTATGAATAAAGGTTTGGGAGATTGTGATTTTCCTGGTAAAGCCACAACTTCAAAGATCTTAGACATTACATTAATAAAACCTAGCCTACAGCTTCAGAAAATAGACATTGTTTCACTTAGCCCCTAGAATCACTTTCCTTGCAAGGTCATTTATAGGACAAAGTTAATAAGAATACAGAAATCAAGCCTTGTGGTTGGGAGAAGGGAAGTAGTAGTAGCTGTAGAAATTAGTGCCATATTTGGTTAATTTCAGTAATTAAAAAAAACACACAAAACCACACGCACAGTTACGTTTTGCCCTGTTTTGACACAGTGCTTGTTAAATCTTGACATGTTAATGAACTGAGAAGCTTTTCGCAACATACTGGGCCTTTTTCATACTCCAGTCCGGCCAACAGCATATGGCAGCTTGACCCAGCGTCTCAAGGCAACAGCTTGGAAAACAGCTAAGTCCAATAGGGCCTTAAAGCGGCCCCCTTTCCTCTTCACCCATAACTGCAGCTTTCCTGGGTGAGCTCTGCTTCTCTCTCGTTCTGCATCCCTTCACTCCCCCTAATATTTTCAGAGCAATGGCACAGAGGCAGATTGCTTTAAGGAAAGCTGCTTGAACCCTACCACTAAGGCTAAGCATCTTCTTTGCAGTGCTCTGCAGTAGCGCATGTAACTAATGAAGGCTTCCTCTGGTTGACAACAGACCCTGCTTTCAGCACAGGCTTCGTAAGGTGTAGCAGCTGCCCAGGCAATTCAGGGCCATGGAAGCAAAATTACTATTAAATGCAGACCCAAAGGCATTTTCCTGAACCTGCACTCTCTCCCCTTCAGAGATTTGAGAACTTAAAACAACAAGTATACTAATGCAGAAAAGGCATATTTCATGCCAAGAATAAAATGTACCCTCAAAATAGGTGTGCAAGGGGTTGCTGGCTGCTATCACGAACCTCAGCAGGGACTAAGACAAGCTACTGTTTTAATATTAAAATGGTCACCTTTTACATTAAGTTGTTTATGGGCAGAAAGCATATTCCAACATTTGGTTTAGGCTGCACTTTACACTTATGCAAAGCAGTTTCACTGTTGGTAGCTTGCAAACATTTGCTGAAGTTAAGATGTTGAGATTTGGGGAAACAAACAAAACTAGGATTTGTTTAGAGCAGAGATGGCAGATTTGCAACCCTTGGGCCAAATACAGCCTCCAAAGCAATTCTGTTTGGCCCCTGGTGGCCATGCTAAATTTTAAACCAAGGTGTGTGCCCAAGTTTCATCCATGAAGGACAATGAAAAATGCTACTTGTACGGTATTAAATTCACACTTCTAATGTTTAACTCTTTGGGTTTTGCATGCAGAGTCCCCATTACTAAACAGCGTCTGTGCTCTATATATCTGAAACACTTGCAGCTAGATGATTTAGGCTTTGTAGGACCTAGCCACCTAACTTCAGTTTGTGGCCATATGCTTCTGCCATTCTCCTTCCTCTGGCTGAGGCCATTTTGGGGCAGGGGAGAAAAGCTGGGAATCCAAGTCAAGATGGTTTTGGAACAGACTTTCACATGACATAACCCCTTTCTGGGAGCAATCTGTGGCCAAGGCACACCTGCATCTTCTACCCCCACCCCAACCATAGGTGAAAGGTGCACACACTCAAAAAGATGTTTAAGGGGAAGACGACCCTAGAACATCCCCTCCTATTTAATTGTACCAATAGTGGGAGCTGCCTTAAGCACTGCTGTTGGGCCTCTCTGCTGTCTAGCTGATGAGTTGGGCACTATCCTTCTCATAGCTGCTTGGTCAAATGGCCCCAGAAGCCTATGCACCAGTGCAAAGCGCTCATGGAACATCTCTCTGATCTACTGCTTCAAAGATGTATTGCTGGCCTGCTCAGAAATAGAACAAAACCCTCAAACATCTCATCAGTAAAAGGATTTCACAAATGGGAAACCACCACCTAGAAGGCCCTGTCAGCAATAAATATCAACTGAGTGCCACCAACAAATCAGGTCTCCTCTGTTGCTTATAGGTCCAAGATGGCTTGCAGCCCGAGCCACATAGGGCTGTGTATGCGGTATTAACACACTAAACAGAGTCCAGTAGGTTATCACAGCACTTTCAGGACTGATGACAGTCACATTGTGTTGCCTCACTGAACTAGCAGCTGCATTCTGCACCAGTGGCAACTTCCAGACAGTCTTCAAGGGTAGTCCCACAGAAAGCACATTGCTGTAGTCAAGATGGGAGGTCAACAGAGCATGGACAGCTGTAGCCAGGCTATCCCAGTCCATAAACAGCCATAGCTGGTGAACAAACCAAAGATGAGCAAAAACACTCCTAGCCACACAGACTGCACTTGGGGATGCAGTGACAGGCTGGAATCTATAGGTACTCCCAGGCTGCAAACCTGTTCCTGCAGGGTGAATGAAGCCCTTGCAAGAACAGGTCATCCACCCAATTCCCATGTTTCTTGCTTCAAGATTTCTTGGGCAGGGGTTGAAGTCTTTGACTGCATGTGTTAACCAAACAGATGTGTGTTAACTATACATTAGCACTGAGTAGTAAAAACTGCAAAGCACTGGCCAAAATCTATAGTTTCCCATTTTTAAGATTAATATTGCTTCATAATCTCACTTTCAGTGCTGCTGCGATCCAAGCTAATTTGCTATTTAAAAATTTGGCTGCTTAAATACAAGTTCCGTAACTCATTACAGAGCAACGCCAGTACATTCAGGAAAGAGGTGGTGTCAAAGTTAAGATTTATGCAGCCTGTTTTGCATTCTAAAGTATCCCCCCCCCCAATTTTCTCACCCATTTCTAGGATCTTCTTCTGCAGTGCATCTGATGAAAGGAAGAGTTCTTCTGGACAAGACCGGATAATTGCGCCGATTGCTTGAGATTTCGAACCGAATATGCATGCACTCTCTTCACTCAAGTTGACCCCAGCCATAGAAGTCACATCGTTGATGTCATCTTCATCTCTGCAAGCAAAAATTTCTATTATATTTTGTATTTGGTTATAAAGGCAAACTGTTCTATTAAATACTGTGCTTACCAACATGGCTGTAGGTCCTGTCACTAACCAGGCTGCTTTATTTCTTTGATCTGCACTAGCTAGAATTTAGCATTGCAAGTTCAATGTTTAGGTAAACCTGGCAACTTTGGCATCGTTTTCTACAAATGACATAAGCGGGAAAGTGAAGGCTCCTGAGAAAGTCGTCACTGACCATGATTAGAAGTTTGAGGGCTGAGTGAGACATTAAAAACAACAACAACTTTGTGGGTAGGGAGATTAGGATCAGAGAAGCAAGTGGGAACGTCCTTGTAAAGAATTCAAAATTCCGCAGAGGGAAAACTCTTGGGGAAATGGCAATTTGCAGCACTGAAGTTCAACCCCATTTAGAACAGGTAACTGATTTATTGCCTGGACATGAGAACCACTTGCCCACAAAAACGCTCTCTTGCTAGGGCTTAAACTCAGTTTGTTGGGCCCCCCAATACAGCCCACAACTGCAGCCACACACAGCCGCTCTTGATTAGATATTGTGGAGAAACAGAGCTGTGTGCCACCAGCACACTGATAACACATGGCTCCATATCCCCCGATGACTGCTTCCATTGGGTTCATATAGATGTTAAATAGCACTGGGGAACAAGAGAGTTCCCTGCAGCACCTCATAACAAATGTCACGGACCTGATGAACATCCCTCCCCCCATACCACTCTTTGGAACTGATGCTGCAGGTAGCATGAACCGGCATAAAACAATGTTCCTGAGACCTATGTCACACAGCCGGTTCAGGTCCATGGTTGATGGTATCAAAAGCCACAGAGAAATCAAGCAAAAGCACAAAGGTTGCACTCTGCTTGTTGCTCTCCCTTCAGGGAGACCAAGGTTGATTTCATCCCAACATCAGGTCTGAAACCAGACTAAAATGGGATCAGACTATGGGTTGTATCCAATAATGCCTGCAGCTGCTCTGCCACAACCAGCCAATGACTACCACAGACTAGGGAATCCAGGGCGAGTTTTTTTATATATATATATAGCAGTGGGCACAGCACCGGCTCCTTCAAGGTAGGCCCAATACTTTAAGCTTGCCAAGAGCAAGATCGCATAGAAAAATAAGCACAGTCAAGTCAGAAAAGTATTCAATCTTTTCGTTTAAAAATTAAGGTTATCAAAGAAATGAAGGAGAAACAAGGACTTGAACTTGTCTATGTAATGGTTAAAAGAACTTTACTACAACAACATGAGGGTATATTTCAACATGAGTTCAATTGTCCAATTAACCTAATATTTAAGAGAACTTGATAAGCAAGCTGGGGCCATTCTAGTTCATTCTAGTAGAGCATTTGATATGGTACCACAAGGGAAAATACTTTCAGCAAGCAAAAAAAGAGTTACAAGTATTGGGAAAAAGAAGAAGTGGGATTTTGTTGGGATTGGTCTTGAACCCATTTGTTCATATTTTAGTGAACATGGTATTAAAAATGCACTTAAGGGTCAGCTGAGTAACACGCTCAAGATTAGGGGGTGGCATGAATTGATCTTTTCACTAGGACCTAGCAAGCAGGTATGCTTGGGACCGAATCCCCAGGATCAGACTGACTGCCAACATCAATAATATTTCCTCCTGTGGTAGTTATGGATTATCCACAGAAACCATTAATATTGGGACATTTATTTTGTCAATTACAGAAGTTGCTTCTCTACTTAAGCATTGTATTAGTTTGGCTCATAACTATGTCTTTAAGTGTGGAGTACACTGATCTAATCAAACTTTCCAACTGAAGCAAGTCCCTCCTGGTTTTCTCATTTACCTTATATCTCATTTAGTAAACTTTTCAATGAAGAAACACACAAAAACTTGACAAACAAGTCTTTACCACCCTCTGCTGTTCAAATATTGGCCCTGCACTTTTCACTATTTTAATTACACAATTGTTCTAAAAATAAGGACAGGCTTGAGCTAAAGCCTGTAAGATGCCAGCCAGAGGCTGCTAATCAAAATCTACATGGAGCAATTTAAAATTTAATCTAGGATTAGGTTGGTAGCAGCTACATACTCATCTGTGTTCATTGTCTTTCTTTATATTTAAGAAAGCTCTCACACAGTTAAAAAGCTAAATTAAGACATCTGGACAAAAGTAAGATTGTTCCAGCTTTAGGATGAAGGATTTCAGATTGCCATTATTTTTACTGAAGTGTGATGCTGCAAAAACAATGGCCCCCAAATGCTGTTCACCATGGACCACCTGAAAATTGCAACAAGTCTTGGTGGACCAACTTAATGTTTTTTTTCTGCATGTTGTAGCGATTTTAATGCTCTGTGCTAGGTGCTGCATGATTTTGATCATATTTTTATTACCCATATATTGTATGTTATTGCGTTACAATTTGAATTCTGTAGAATTCAAATTGTAACACAATGTAAGAAATGAAACCAAGAAATAGCAATACAATTAAAATGAATATGAATATTTAACGTGATGCATGCACCACCTTCCACATTCAACCACAGACACCCTATGTACCATGTGAATGAAGCTCTATGTGATCCACACATCAGAGTTTGGGGAAAGCATTAAGTCCCCCAAGCCCCAAGTACATAGTCTCTTGTAGGTAGTGTAACTTCCAGCTAGAATCTGCAGACAGAGATAGTGAAATAATCTTCCTTAACAGTCATGAATTATCACAGTTATCTTTCAGTTTTAATTATATGGTAGAAGTTCAATAGAGCATTTGATGCTGCTAACTGCTGGGATATCAGACCTTATGCTACAACTTAGAAGTAGTAGTGAGAATAGAAACTTCCTGCACTACAGCTAAAGCAGCTACCCTAACCTTCCACATTTGGAGGGGAAAAGCTCCCTTGCTACAGTCTTTTGCCATAGTATAAAAGGTAAAGGGACCCCTGACCATTAGGTCCAGTTGTGACCGACTCTGGGGTTGCGGCGCTCATCTCGCTTTATTGGCCGAGGAAGCTGGCGTACAGCTTCTGGGTCATGTGGCCAGCATGACTAAGCCGCTTCTGGCGAACCAGAGCAGCACACGGAAACACCGTTTACCTTCCCATTGGAGCGGTACCTATCTACTTGCACTTTGACGTGCTTTTGAAATGCTAGGTTAGCAGGAGCAGGGACCAAGTAATGGGAACTCACCCCACTGCGGGGATTCAAACCGCCAACCTTCTGATTGGCAAGTCCTAGGCTCTGCAGTTTAACCCACAGCGCCACCCGCATCCCTGCCATAGTATAGGTAAAGGTAAAGGTACCCCTGCCCATACGGGCCAGTCTTGACAGACTCTAGGGTTGTGCGCCCATCTCACTCTATAGGCCGGGGGCCAGCGCTGTCCGGGTCACGTGGCCAGCGTGACATCACTGCTCTGGCAGTGGAAATGCCGTTTACCTTCCCGCTAGTAAGCGGTCCCTATTTATCTACTTGCACCCGGGGGTGCTTTCGAACTGCTAGGTTGGCAGGCGCTGGGACCGAGCAACGGGAGCGCACCCCGCCGTGGGGATTCGAACCGCGACCTTTCGATCGGCAAGTCCTAGGCACTGAGGCTTTAACCCACAGCGCCACCCGCGTCCCATAGTATACTAGCACTAAATTAGTAGAGTTGCTCTCACATCTTATACCTACGGCCCTCCACCAGATATTGCCAGAGTCTTAGGGCCTACCTTACCGGGCCTACCTTATGTGCATTGAAGTGTCTAAAACTTAGCTGAATGCCATACTTATGCCCTACGGCCCCAGCCAGCATGGCTAATGGTCAGGGATGGCAGGAGTTGTAGTCCCAACAACATCTGAACAGCCAAAGGTTCCCCTTCTGCACAAGATGCCGCTGACATCCTTGCCTCCCTCCCCAAACCCAAAACATTTTATGCACGGCACAGACTTCTACTAAATCCTTGTGCTATTACACCAAAAGGTAGCACAGGCCAGAGCCCAATAAAGGAAGGGGCCAAGATCTTCTGGAGTGACTTTTTGCCCCAAGAGTGGACTACACTAATGTGTCAACTTCTGAGCCTTCTATGCAACAGAAATCTGAAAGGGATTTTCGTTCCAGTTACTGGCCACATTCAAATGATTTTTCAGGGTGATGAAAACAAATACAGCTTATTTTCCAACAATCACAGACAACTAGACACATCTGATTTCAATTGAAATGTGTTAATAAATCTCAAGTCTGTATTAAACCCTAAGATTCAGCTAACAGATATGATACCCTTCTGAACCCTACAAAAAAGCTGCTGGGCTACTTAAAAGGAATAGAGTTTGCTGACTTAGAATTGGCTTAAATCTAATATAGTATATTTGACTACCTCAAACCCCAACAGAATAACTAAGAAAAATATAGTATGTAGAGTTATTAATGAAGCTGACTTATTTTCATCAAGGATCAGTGAAATACAATCTTTGTTCATAATTTATGGAATAATGTTACTGTATTTTTCGCCCTATAGGATGCACTTTTTCCCCTCCAAAAATGAAGGGGAAATGTGTGTGCGTCCTATGGGTGAATGCAGGCTTTCCTGGGCTTCCTACAGCTCTGCGCCACCCTCCCGATCCCGGCGCGAAGCCGCACGGGGCTCCGGAGGGTGGCGCAGAGCTGCCTGCGCTCCAGAGCTTCCTGCAGCTCTGCGCCACCCTCCCAATCCCGGCGCGTAGCCGCACCGGGGTCTGGAGGGTAGCGCAGAGCTGCCTGCGCTCCAGGGCTTCCTGCAGCTCTGCGCCACCCTCCCGATCCCGGCGCGAAGCCGCGTGGGACTCCGGAGGATGGCGCAGAGCTGCCTGCATTCCGAAGCCTGGTGCGCGCTGAAGAGCGCACCCGGGCTTCGCGCACCTCTCCGCAAGCCTGGGGAGACTGGCGCGGCTCCCTAGGCTTGCGGATAGCAGGCTGTTCTGGGGGCTGGGGTCAGGGGAAGCTCGGACTTCCCCTGCGCCTGCCCCTGCCTGGGGAGGAAAAAAAATTTTTTTCTTTATTTCCCCCCAAAAAAGTTTAGGTGCGTCCTATGGGGCGGTGCGTCCTATGGGGCGAAAAATATGGTATATTACAATTACTTTTTCTTTAAGTGTTCTAACAAGAATTGACTGAATTATCTAATTTCATTAATATTTTTTTGAATATTAAGTGTGCAATTAAAATCCGCTCACATATACTTTACAATGTATCATTTGTTCAAGCATTTTATTCATATTGCTTAGGATAAAGCAATCTCAAATCCAAAGAAAACTCTTTAAAATGTGTGAAGTTTTAGTTCCCACAGACTTAAATTGTATTTTCCTTCAGTGAGGTAGCAATACTGATATTTTGCAATGTGCGAATTCCTTTAATGAGTTGGACAGTTAGAAGACAGGATAAGGAGTTCAAAATAAAAGAACTAGGATTAGCAGCTAGATAAATAAAAGCCTGGACTTCAGGAGCATATAACCCAATCAAGCTCTGGAATGTAAATATCTGAAACAGCTGGCAGGGCAAATTTTAGGCTTTTCCTTTCATTAGCACTAAAACATCAGAACCAAGGAAGCAAAAACTCCCATCAGAAATCTTAAATATTTATTTAGGCATCACTCGATTCTCTGTGGCTGTTTGCTTCCCACCCACACCCCCACACCCCACCTCCCAGCCAGGCTTTTGCATAGTACACAAACTTCCGACTTTGTTTATTTTTTACCTGAAGGATTTTGTTCCGTTCTCCCTTATTTTATTTCTCTGAACAGGAGATGCTTGAAGCGACAGAATTTTGTTTCCTGGCAGCGTAATTTGTTTCACAATGGAACCTAAAAAAAAAAAGATGAACAATCCGTAGCAGAAAGCAAAATCCTTAATGACATTCAGCGCACAGCGCACCCAAGAACAGATATCTGGAGAGACTGTGTCCAGGATTTTTTTCTGTTTTTTTTAATGAAAGCTGCATATTTGCTTCAAGGTCAAAATGCAGTTCCCATACACATTATCTGCTCAAGTTATTTTATCAGGACATGGACACCTGGACAACTGTGCTATAGCCAAGAATATTCCAACATCAAAGGTATCTGTAACTGTTGCCTTTAACAAAGGCTGCTCCCTCTTGTAATTAAGACAACTCTCCCAGTGATTTTCAAGACAACTGCTTTTAGCACAGTTAATACATTTGCTGTGCAAGGTCCAGGCATCTTTCTTAAAGGTTGTGGATGGGTCAATGGATAGTACTGTGCCAATATTCAAGAGGTAGCATCTATCACTGGGAAAATGCACTTCTGGTATTCAGGATATCATGAGAAAGCTTAGGGTAAATGGTACAAGCCTGGGCAAGCTCCTCCTCCTCGAAACTCCTGGCCAGCTTCTAGTGTGGCCAAGAAGACAGAACAGAAGCTTTTGCTTATTCACAGTGTAGTGTTACATCTTAACCCTAAAATGGTTAATCTTATAGATGGTTTGTAACGGAATGTAGAGTTTTGAACTCCTTGTTGAGAGGAGGGGAACTTCAGGAGCCCGAGGCTCATCCGGGTTCATTCCTATCATCATAAAACCATGGCTATCAAGCCAAAGCTCAGCTATCATAAACAAATACTGGAATTTGTTTTTCCATGTATCATGGCACCTATTATTTACATATTCATAGTTCAGACTTTCATAAAAACATCAAATTGGTATACAACATTTAGGAATACAATCCACACATTCATAAAAACATTAAAAACCAACAAAAATACTGAAAGGTTAAAAAGAGATAATTCATATTAAAAACATAGTTTTCAAAAGATATTGGAAAATAGCAAGAAATGGTTCCTCTGAATCTCTACTGGACGTGAGTTCTACAGGTCTGGAACTGCCACACCCAAGGTCTGGCTCATAGTAAAGGCCAAAGAAACATCAGAGGTAAGTGGAACCACTAGAAGTTCCTCATCAGAGGATCTCAGTGATCCAGATGGAACATAGAATCAGACAAATTCTTAATGTATTTTTGGCCCATGTTGTTTACAACTTTGAGCCTGGAAAATTGGCAACAAGTGCCGGTTTCTTAGCAGCTGAGTAACATGTTGCAATTAACTACAGTGTGCAACACTAACAGAGATGCCCAAGCCTACCTTATCCCCGTTTTAAACATTTTTGTGAACCTGGTGACTTCAGAGTTGAATTACTGCAAGCAAGCAACTCTATGTGGGGCTTCCTTTGTGCTTCACCCAGAAACTTCTGTTAGTGAATACAGCTGCAGTTCACTTGCTGACAGGAATGAGAATCTGTCAGCATGCAACACCCCTGCTCAGAGATCTGCAGTGGTTGTCATTTTCTTACCTGGCCAAGTTCAAGGTGTTACTATTGGTATATAAAGCCCTTAATGGCTAGGGAGCAGTTCACTTCCATGATCACCTTAAACCAAATGTGCCCACTCAACCACTTTGATATGTGGAACTGGCGCCATTACAGGTGCCACATAATACTAGTTCCACAGCTGTAAGAAGACAAACTTTTGACACTTTGGAATTCCCTGTTTATTGACATCAGACAAAACATTGAGCTGTACCACTGAAATGAAGGACACCCCACCAAGCACAGAGATACATTTTGTAAAGTGGAAACAGCATGGTGTGCACTTTGTGGTTCAAATCAATTTTTATTTTATTTTATTTATTTATTGAATTTATATACTGCCCTATACCCAGAGGTCTCAAGGCAGTTCACAGAAAGCTATCCAAGCTATGGTTTGGGCATGAGGTCTGAAATCAGCCGGATAACTTAACTGTACCTGCAGGAAGCTGACTAGACTGGATCAAAGTGTTTAATGGCATTTTTTCACCTGATTTGTTCACAGCATGGAGTGAAGCCTGTTCGAGTGTGACCACTTTTTTCAAGGTACTTCCTGAAGGCTGCTGGACTATCTGGAAAGGTTACACATAAAAGTACTCAGCACACATTGCAAACGTAAACAGTCACAATATTAGATCAAGTTAGTCATGCACATGAAAGTGCGACACTTGCATCAGGGCTGACCAAGTCATCCAAGATCAAGCTTGTAAACGACATTAGCATGTCAAATGACTTTAAGAAGTCTGACTACACTCCCCCTCTTTCAGCAAAAATGGGTACAATCATTGGCAGGACACATGCTTTGTGAGCATTCCAATATAAACTTATTTGCACACTTAAAAGACACCGATAGAACCACTGCTCAGTGTTCTCCCTTCTATCAGAGGCGCCAAAGTTTGCAATATGGAACAGGCCCTTCCCAGTGGCACCAATGAGATTATGAAACTTTCTCCCCTTGGTCTTTCCTGTTTAGGACAGCTGGAATTTGCTTCAGAAGGGATTTGTGGATCTAGTGAATTTATGAACTTGTGTCAAACTGCTGGTGCTCCTCTTCATTTTTTTTACTGTTTTATTGGCCGTTTGATGTTGGTTTAAACACATGAAACTGCTTTGGGGATAATGTCAAAAAGCAGGATGAAATTATCTTAAATAAATCTGTTTGATCATAAAATGAGATCAAAGCTACCTACTGCTATGACTCAAAAGGGCAAATATCAGAAGCCATTTTGCCATGGCTCACAGTTAAAGACATTATGTACCCCCAATGTTTTACAAGACTAAAAGTGCCTTCTAACCTCTCCTGCTCCCATATATTCAACAGCTTTCCAGAATACTAACAAGTCTGACGTAGGGGTTCTGTGGTGAAGTCTGAATGGTGTGAACTTTATGCCAAAAGCAGGAAATGCTTAACCCCACCCCAAACGTGAAAAATGAAAAATCAGGGTCGAACTGTTCCATTTCCATGGGAAGAAATTAGACTCTTCCCAGTGATGTGAACCTCTACAAATAAGAACTAGATGGGCATTTTAAAACTGCCAAGTGAAACATTGACGTTTTCTTCAACTTTGGATCTCCAGCTGGACTACAGATCCCATCATCTGCTGTCACTTAGCCCTAACTCTCAGGAATTATTAAAGTTGCAGTTCCACAGCATCCAAGGATCCCAAGGATGAAGAGCACCAATTCTAGAGACAGAACAGTCCAGAAAATGTTATAGATCAGACAGAAAAAACACCTGTCCTTAAGAGGCCATATCGGATACCTAATAATGGAGCTCTTCACACAGTGTGTATGTACAATTTGCAGCACTGCAAATTTAATAACCTAGGAAAAGGCTGCTGGATCAGGCCAATGGCCCATCTTGTCTAAGCATCCTGTTCTCGCAGTAGCCAAGCAGATGCCTGTGGGAAATGCACAAGGAGGACCTGAGAACTCTCCTCTCCTGCAGTTTCTAGCATACCGCTTCCAACTGTGGAGGCACAACACAGCCATCCCAGTTAGTAGCCACTGGTAGCCACTGAATTTGCCTGAACCTCCTTTAAAGACATCCAAGATGGCAGCCATCACTGCCTCCAACGGGAGCAAGTACCATAGCTTAACTATGTGCTGCATGAAGCAGTGCTTTCTTTTAGCTGTCTGTGAAAGGTTTCCTGCTCTCCTTATCAAACAGAAAATAACTGCACAGTAACTTTAACATCTCTTTCAGTTGGTAGATCAGGGAGAAAAGGGATATTCAACAACAGTGCCTATGGTGACTTCAAATGAGACAGACTTAGCAGTGGGGAGCTGAGTCAACCATCACCATTCAACATTTGTACAGCCCTTGAACATTCAAAGTATGTAACATAGTCTTTAATCTGTACAATAACCCAGTAAAGTAGTAGACCATATCCCCCCAATCTGTATTATGGGAATGAGGCCAAGATATAATGGTCTGTCTACGGTCAAGTAAACAGAATGGGTGAGCTGTGCAAACACACACCCAGTTCAAGTATTCATGCTCAGTAAAGTTCTGGTATTGGAATGCTTAGTTTACATTGCCAAATACCTAGAAAGCTACTCTGTTTAGTATCTGCCAGAGTTTTATTCATGGAGATGGGTGCTAAACGTTCCTGATTCTTTGAGTGGACTACTATCAGACAGATATATTCCTCAATGTTGCTTAGTACTCACATATCTCCATACTGCCCCTTTCCTCATATATTAACCTTTTAAAATGGACATCTCAGGTGTCAAGTTATGCAAGGTACGTAAGGGGCAAATGCACAAGTGCCATTTTAATTATTTGCTGATAAACTGCCTTTGAATTGCTGGCTCAGCTGAACTGCTAAGGTTACCAAACTTCAGAGCTTTACAGATCAAGAGCAAGATAAACTTATCAACTGCTTTACCTTTACAGCCTGTGACGTCTGAGCTGAATGGGAAAGGACAGAACTGGGATGGACAACTCTGATAGTGATTGGTTTCCCAGCAACTGGCATTATGGATTGGAGAGACGCGGTCACTGCTGTTGTAGCAGTTGCTGCAGCAGTAGTCAAGGTCGGCTTCAGAGCTTGTAGAGATGTTGCTGCAGCAGAAGATGGCGGCTTTACAGAACTAGGAGCAGCAAATGCAGGTGATGACGACATTGCAGGGGCATGGACTGGTTTCACAACCTGGAGAGAAGTGGTACCAGTTGCCACCATTGCAGTGGAGGAGACTGGATGTACAGCTCTCACAGTAGTCGGTTTAGTGGAGGGAACAGGACTGGCACCTTGAAGGGAGAGTGTCCCTGACAAAACAGGAGTGGTCTGAACAAACTGAAGAGAACCAGATCCTCTTGTCACTCCTGATGTACAGAGGACTGGGCCTGAAGTCTGTTGGGAGGGTATCCCCGTCGGAATTTTAAGAGAGGTCACAGTCACAGGAGTGCTGGCAGCAGGTACCAAAGAAGTGGATGATGCTGTGCTACAAATAGGAGGAGCTGTTTGTGGTCCTGATTGTTGAAGACACTGCCGTATAAAGGCCTGTGCGTCAGGCATTAATTGCCGTAAGGCAAGCATACTTTTCTACGCAAGGAAGAAAGCAATAGACAAAAATTAAGATCCTGCATTTTCCTTCCACCATTGACACTGCACTGTGTCTCATTGAACAGTGTCAATGTCACCGCTAAAACATTAAAATGATAACTAGCAGACCAGCTAAACAATACAAATTATCACATCTGATCGTCAAGGAAGCTTCCTAAAGTTCAGGCTGTTTGCCTTTGCAATCATTAACAAATCTGCACTTTGACAGGAGACTTAAGCACACTGGACAACATCCCAGACACATTTCTGAAGCTGGTCCTGAAGTCCTGCTCTTGTTGCATGTGTGAGAGCCACAAGAACCTGAATGGGCAGGAAGTTTCCCCTCAATGGGTAGAAGTTACCCAAATGGTACATGCAGGTTTGTGCCAGCTAGCCTCACACTACATGGTCCAATATCACAGACATGGGGGTCCCATTTCTTATCAAAACACCATGGAGGCATGGACAGAATTTCACTGGAAGGGCTCACTTTCCCACACCAACCACTTCATGTTGAGTGTGTTTTGCTTTACAAATTAATTCTCCTGACATTTCAAAACAACCTTTCACCCAACCATCAAGGACCATCACCACTTTGATACTTAAAATGGGGAGCAAATTCATTTAGACATACCTTGAGAAAAGGGAGAAGATAGGGCTGAGGGGAAGACTTTAGCTCAATGTACAGTTTTCTAGTAAATTCTTCTGGTTCCATTTTGGCTTCCTAGATAGGAAAGGAAATGGTTGCACAAATGTAACGTGTCGTTTCTCCAGATGTGCCTAAACTGAACCCACCAATTCACTAACTTTCTAGTACTAATAATTTCATACACTGAATATTCTATTCAACAATTAAATTGAAGAAAGTGTACAGTATCAGCAGGCTCCCAAAAGGAATCTAAGATGAATTATTCACTGGTTAAGAACCAGCAACTGTGGGCAATAAGTTAGATTTCTAAGTTGTTACTACAAACTTGGAAATGCACCAAGGTGGTAAAAAAATTGTGCAATATTTCTGCCACATGACTAGAGAGACAGACTGCAGAGAGTCAAATTTCTACTAGTTTGTATCCAGAAGCAGCTAATTTGTATTTGCTGCATGTGTTACTATAACAGGCAGTATTTAACTTGCCTATTCTGAACATGCTCAGGAAAAGCAAAAACAGAGCTACAGAAGCATTGCCATGTCATACACTCTACACCAATCACTCTGTAAAAAAGAACGGGATCAGCTTCTGGAAATTATGACACTCCAACATTAATGAGCATGCTGCAGAAGCCTAAAAGCTTTGCAAATGCTAGATATGCCATTTCCCGGACATATCTGGGGTTCGACCATTGGAAATAGAGTCTGTGCGGAATTTCCAAAAATCACTAAAAATGTCCAAGAAAACCCGGACGTATGGCAACTCATGTCGGATTTTTCACTTTTTGAAATAGGTCAACCCTATATGCAAACAATTTTGCAACCAAGACTTCCCTGTTTAAGGCACATGCATATCTAAACATGATATAGAAAAACTTATTGGGGGGGAAAGGAGCCTTCCATTGTTTGAGAGGTCTGCAAGAGTGGCTCACATTATGGTGTGCCTGAGAATCCTGCATCCCTCTGAATGTTGTCCCAGTACTCAAGCTAGGACTGGAACATTGGCCTGCAGCCAGGCTGCCTGATGACTGGGATCCTTGCCTTATGCCATGCCCCACTGTGCACTGTAGCCAATGACGTTGTGGCCTCTAGTATGCCCCCGTGTACTTAATCCATCCCGTACTTCACACCTTATTTCCTGTGTGCACACAAATCACTTCTGAGTAAATACATTTAGGATCAGGGCACAAATACTTGCAGATGAACTTTTACCAACAGACTTTGTACCAGGTTCTTCACATTCTGCCCCATTTCAGGTGCTTGAGGCCCGCTGGATGCCAGTTTTATTAGTGTTGCTAGGAAGTTTTTGCACTTTTCCACATTTTCCAGCATTTCCTGATAGGAAGCCAAAAGAGTAAATTAACTTCTGTTCAGTTCTGAAATATTGGGAAAGGTAGGCAATCTTAGACTACTTTGCACTTACTTTAGAGATGCTGGCCTGTGCTACTGCCCTACTTTCTGTGTCAGGGACTGGCTTTGTAGCAAGAGAGAGCACAGAACAATCAGAAACAGGAGGCTTTGCCACTGGTCCGGTAATCAAAGACTTTGCAGCCACAACTGTGGTGCTGCTATTATTTGTTGATGCTATTGACTGGAAGAAATTAAACATTTAAGTAGCTAGATTCAATTCTGACAGGAAAAAGCAAAACCAAAGCTGCTACATTAATATTAGTATCAGGAAGGCACCTTTGTTCTACTGGTGTTGGTGTCTACTACCCTCCAACACAACTTTCCAACAATGTCTCCCATTCACACTTTTAGGGGAAAGCAAACATACGCATAACATCATGCATGCAGATTAGCTCATGTGAACCTACATTTAGATTTAGCAATAACGATTTTGTCTGACAGATAGTAATCCTAACAACCGTGCACATTTCCATCAACCACCAGAAGCTGAGAATGACCATCACTGAAGAGAGCTCATAAAGCATTGTGTTTAGAGGTATTTATTGCTTTATTGCAATTAATGCTTTATTGCAGTCAGATTCAGGCATTAGACACTACCATAGGCTGGGGAATAAGGATGACTAACCCAATCCATATGGCAACTTGAATGAGGCAGATGACTAGGGAGGGGGGCAGTTTTCCTATTCCTCAGTATGTTTTGAGTTACATTGGCAAGTGCACCATTAAGGTAAAGGTAAAGGGACCCCTGACCATTAGGTCCAGTCGTGACTGACTCTGGGGTTGCAGCGCTCATCTCGCTTTATTGGCCGAGGGAGCCGGCGTACAGCTTCCGGGTCATGTGGCCAGCATGACTAAGCCGCTTCTGGCGAACCAGAGCAGTGCACGGAAACACCGTTTACCTCCCCGCCGGAGCGGTACCTATTTATCTACTTGCACTTTGACGTGCTTTCAAACTGCTAGGTTGGCAGGAGAAGGAATGAGCAACGGGAGCTCACCCCATTGCGGGGATTCGAACCGCCGACCTTCTGATCGGCAAGTCCTAGGCTCTATGGTTTAACCCACAGCGCCACCCGCGTCCCACAAAGTGCACCATTGGGTACATGTAAATTTTTTTAAAAGATACACGCAGCATGATTTATAAAGCCACCTTGCCATTTATTAGATTTGTGACTCATTGGGCTAAAATGCTTAAGTGCCAGAAAATAACAAGGAAGTCATACCTGGATTGCAGCAGGCTTCTTAACATTTGAATTAACAGAAGGTGTTGTCCAAGTCACTGTTGTATGAGGAGCAGCTGATACTTTCAGTACTTGAGTTCCAGAATTCTTTCAGAAAGATGATAGAAAATATATTGTTAGGTAAAAGCCTCAAAATGAAATCTTGGGTAAGTGGCCAGGCACCATTTCCTTCTAACTGGACACATCAGTGTTATCTGTCCCAATTCAAGTAGGCTGGGCAAAAGTCTTCTCTGAACAGGAAGATGCAAACGATGCAGAAGAGAATCCAATAGCATGCCAAGTAGAGAAGGCTTCTTTCTATGGATAGGCAGAAATGCTATGACTTAAGAAGCATTTCAGGCTATGACTGTTCAAGTGTTTTTATTTCTAAGTATTGAAATTTTCCCATCCATGTAGTAACAGTGATAGCTGGTATGAGCAAGTTGAATGCAGAGGAAAGAACAGAAAATCACTGTACTATATAGGCAATTAAGGCTTGCTTAACAGTTATTTAATCTCCTACTTATGAGCAAGTGGTGCCAGCAGAAAATGGAAATGATTCCTGCATCTAGACTAGATTCACTTCACTGCTGCACCCACATCCCTGAGAAAGACATACACTGACCCAAGTCCTGTGAAAAGCTATAGTAGCAGAAGAAACACACAAAGAAACTGCTATTACAGAGGTATTTACCTGTACAGTCTGTGTTTTGACTGTAGGTGCATTTGCAGGCAATGATTGTCGTACAATTGGGTTCTTTTGGGCCTGGCTTTGAACTTGAGCAAGTGCTTGTTGGGACAGCAGCATCAGCTGTCCAGTGCTGCTTCTGACAAGAACCGTTCCTGCAGGAAAGAAGATACTATCAGATCCTTCCACTGCACATTCTTAAGAGCAGGTACATAAATCTGAGTTTGTATAGTCCAAACTTTTAAGCAAGAAATCGGCAGGATAAACAGTACATGAATTATGCAATATTACAGTGCTTCTATAGTACTGCACACTTCCCTTCTAGGCTCCTCTGTTTAAACAGCAGACTACTACATTCCTGCTGTGCTCCAGTTAGTGTTATGACAGACGTAGCTTATTGTTTGACCTTTTAAAAATCCATCAAACATATTTAAGAATAAATTCTGGATTGGTTTAGTTTAGTCATGCATCTCTGCTCTCACAGCTTGCAATATAGAGATGTTAAGACACGCCACACCACAATGTTAGTCCTGCTTTTGGCAACGGCTTCTGTATTAAATATTTTTTAATTACACATATTTATAACCCTCCCCCTTTCACGCAGGGGTCCGAGGGCAGGGTACAAACACTTAAAAACCACAAATATATAAAATCAACACAAAACAATCATGAATGAAATCAAACAGCAACTACAACAAAATGAAAATGCAGCCCGGAGAAAAGTCAAATGCACCTCACACCCAGCCCCAAAGGCCTGGACAAAGGTGTGTTTTCACCTGCCTTTGAAAAGACCAAAATGTTGGAGCATGATGCACCCAAGGGGGGGGGGTCCTACCATACTTTAAAAGTAATTTTCATAGTCTTGATAGACAATGCTGTGTGACTGCACACTTCTAAGACCACCTATGTGTTTCTTTTTAGGCAAGAAATCTCATGCTTGATATTCTTCACCAGACAAGGTTCATTCTAAAAAAAAAAGGTGAGGGCCTTCTTTTGCTCAAATCAGGAATTTTTAATTAGATACACAACTCTAGAATCTAACATTTTAATACCGATTTTAAGGCACTTATCCACGTTTATGATATTAAAGTAGTAAAGGGAAGTCTGCCTCATAGGCACACACCCCTCCCCAGAGAGCCAGTGTGGTGTAGTGGTTAAGAGCGGTAGACTCGTAATCTGGTGAACCGGGTTCACATCTCCGCTCCTCCACATGCAGCTGCTGGGTGAACTTGGGCTAGTCACACTCCTCTGAAGTCTCTCAGCCCCACTCACCTCACAGAGTGTTTGTTGTGGGGGAGGAAGGGAAAGGGGAATGTTAGCCGCTTTGAGACTCCTTCAGGTAGTGATAAAGCAGGATATCAAATCCAAACTCCTCTTCTTAATCCTACTTCCGCAAACTATTCACCGCTGGAACAGGGGCATGTTGCCAACAACAGGATTTAACCCAGCCCTAGTCCCCATTAGCTGATATCACAAACCCCACATTTGGGGGAAATGGCCTTGCAGGCCAAGGTTGTCCTATAGCAAATGTTCCCCACCCCTGCTAAATATACTTTTTAATAAGGCTTCCAACTCATCCATAAAAGGGCCAAGAAACCATGCAGAAAGGTATGTTCCTCCTTTCCACATAGGGGCGGTGAGCGTTTAAAGTTACAATAATTTCAGGAGTAATAGCTGGGTACTTGTTAAATCCTCTAAATGGTAGGTGCCGTTAGAGAACAAGAAGTTAGAGAGCTGAAAGTGCTGCTCTATTGTCACCTCTAACCAAGGCAGCTTCAAAACCAACATGAAACCTTGTGAAGCTTGTTTGTTTCCAAAGAGAGTGGTATGGCTGTCTATTACAACACCATCAAGTGATCCTTCTTTCAAAACCCCCATTAACTCTAGGGAGAAACAACTGTCTCAAAGCTCTTGACACCCCCACCAACGCTTCCCTCAGCTATTCTGCAGGTAGCAAGTCGAGAGCCTAACAAAGGCCAGCCTTTGATATCTTCTCTCAGCTACAGACCACTGCTAGAGAAAAGGTTTAATTGGTATGTGTAGTTCCGAGTTGGGGGAGGAAGAAGGATCCGGGACAGCCTGGAAGGATAAACTAGAGCAGTGTTTCCCAACCGGTGTTCCGCGGCACACTAGTGTGCCGTGAGACGTTGCCTAGTGTGCCGTGGGAGGGAGGCGGGCAAGTCGGGCGGCGACAGGCGGGGCGGCGGCGGCGAGCACACGCGGGGCAGCGAGCGAGCGAGCTCCCACATCCCATCGCCGCGAATGCAGGCTTTCGCTGAAGCCTGGAGAGCGAGAGGGGTCGGTGCGCACCGACCCCTCTTGCTCTCCAGGCTTAAGGAAGCTATCCCCCCAGCCGCGCAAGCTCGCAGAGCGATGCCAAAGCTGCGAGCACCTTCGCCATCGCTCTCCGACCCGTTCGGGGGGCTGGGGACGGGAGAAGCTCCGGCTTCCCCCGCCCCCAGCCCGCGCAAGGTCCCAGAGCGATGCGGAAGGTGCGCTCACCTTCGCCATCGCTCTCCGACCTGCTCTGCGGGCTGGGGACGGGAGAAGCTCCGGCTTCCCCCGCCCCCAGCCCGCGCAAGGTCCCAGAGCGATGCGGAAGGTGCGCTCACCTTCGCCATCGCTCTCCGACCTGCTCTGGGGGCTGGGGACGGGAGAAGCTCCGGCTTCCCCCGCCCCCAGCCCGCACAAGGTCCCAGAGCGATGCGGAAGGTGCGCTCACCTTCGCCATCGCTCTCCGACCTGCTCTGCGGGCTGGGGACGGGAGAAGCTCCGTCTTCCCCCACCCCCAGCCCGCGCAAGGTCCCAGAGTGATGGCGAAGGTGCGCGCACCTTCGCCATCGCTCTTCGACCTGCTCTGGGGGCTGGGGACGGGAGAAGCTCCGGCTTCCCCCGCCCCCAGCCCGCGCAAGGTCCCAGAGCGATGGCGAAGGTGCGCACACCTTCGCCATCGCTCTCTGACCTGCTCTGGCGGCTGGGGGCGGGGGAAGCTCGGGCTTCCACCACCCCCAGCTCCTGCAAGCTCCGGGAGCAATGGCAAAGGTGCGCTCACCTTCGCCATCGCTCTCGGACCCTTTCTGGGGGCTGGGGGTGGGGGAAGCTCTGGCTTCCCCCACCTCCAGCCCCGCAAGCTCTGGGAGTGATGGCGAAGGTGCGCTCACCTTTGCCATCGCTCTCGGACCCTTTCTGGGGGCTGGGGAAGCTCTGGCTTCCCCCACCCCCAGTCCCGCAAGCTCCGGGATCCACTCTGGCTCCCATTCTGGGGGCTGGGGTCGGGGGAAGCTCGGGCTTCTCCCGCCCCAGCCCCGCGTCTGGGGGGGGAATAATTTTTTTCCCTTTATTTCCCCCCCAAAATCTAGGTGCGTCCTATGGGCCGGTGCGTCCTATAGGGCGAAAAATACGGTAGTCAATATAGGCACAGAGTTAATTTTTTAAACATTTTCTAATGGTGGTGTGCCTCGAGATTTTTTTCATGAAACAAGTGTGCCTTTGCCCAAAAAAGGTTGGGAAACACTGAACTAGAGAACAAGTAACAGAAGAGAAGGCAGAAGAAAGAAAAGAGGATGGGGACTGGTAAACATACGTGGAAACTCTGCAGAACCAGAGCAGCACACAGAAATGCCGTTTACCTTCCCGCCGCAGTGGTACCTGTTTATCTACTTGTACTTTGACGTGCTTTCGAACTGCTAGGTTGGCAGGAGCAGGGACCAGGCAACGGGAGCTCACCCCGTCACGGGGATTCAAACCACCGACCTTCTGATCGGCAAGTCCTAGGTTCTGTGGTTTAACCCACAGCGCCACCCGAGTCCCTCAAAAAGAAAAAAAGAAAAAAAGAGTAGCAGTAGATAAAAAGAGGAAGTAAGAAACATCCAAGTGTTTCCAACCATCAGCAACTCCCAAAGATGTGGGTAAAGAAGTGCTGGGTACAGGAGTATCAATGAAGGCAAAATTGCAAATTAGGGGTCTCATGCTCATCTGCAATTTGCAAGCCTGAAACTGCAATCCTAAACACACATGTCTAAATAAGCTTACAGTGCAAGCTGACACTTATTCATAAGTATGCATGCACAGGACCTAGGTGTAAAAACACATACACACACCAAAAATGCTTTGACATCTCAGTACAAAATGCACAATCTACATAGGGTGTAGATTGCCTGGGTGCCACAAAGCTTTGGTGCCTTTGTTCTACTTTCTACCCTACATTTATTTTTCACTTGTATACATGGGCTGCATAAAAGGCCAAGAGGCACTTTTCGCATCATGTGTCCAAATGTCCTTAAGAATGAAGCATATGGCTCTGCAATAGCTATAATCCTGTCCGCTAAGTGCAACATAGTTGTATAACACTGCCATCTAATGGTGCAGCAAGTTAAGTGTGTGTTTTCCCTTCATGAAATTCTAAGCATATATCACAAGTGCCTGAGAACATGGATTATCTAGCGCTAGTCTACAACACTTGCCCACATTTGAACACCTGCCTGGAAAAACAATTCTAGGGTTGAACCGAAACAAGCGCTCTGTGTGGTGGCCTGATGTCTGTTGCCTTAGAACAGCTGCATAGCAGGCTGGGTGCCCCTGAGCATAGAAAGGAAGGGGACAGTGCACATCTGGAAGAATCCCAAGAACAGGTAAGCAACACATTACCAGAAGAAAACCTATTTGCTACTTCTCTCCACAGGAGGCAGTGTTTGGTAATGGCAACAAAAGTGTCACTGCACAGGTACCCTGGCTATTACTATCTTGTTCATCAGCTTTGAAACTCTTTCTAATACAGTGGTGCCTCGCAAGACGAAATTAATTTGTTCCGCGATTTTTTTCATCTTGCGATTTTTTTCGTCTTGCGAAGCACGGTGTCGGGAAAGTTTTGGAAAAGCTTCAAAAATCACCAAAGTCTTCAAAAACCTCAAAAAAGGCTACCACACCGCGTTCTATGAGTTGCTCCTCGAAGTCAAGTTGCAACTGTATTAACGGTGTTAAGAAAAAGGAAACAAACTTGCAAGACGTTTCCGTCTTGCGAAGCAAGCCCATAGGGAAAATCGTCTTGCAAAGCAGCTCAAAAAAAACCCTTTCGTCTAGCGAGTTTTTTGTCTTGCGAGGCATTCGTCTTGCGAGGTACCACTGTAACTGCTAAGCTCGCTCACCCACCCCAAAC